GACGCAGAAATGGACCTAGGCAGCAACTCAGGCCCAGACATTCATCATGGACCCAGGTGGCAGCGCAGGTGACCATGACAACTTTTATAAAGGAAAACATTTCGTTAGTCCATTATCATCATGGTGGGAAGCACGGCAGCATGCAGGCAGACATGGTGCTGGAGAGGTAGCTGAGAGTTCTAGATCTTCATCCACAGACAGCAGGAAGAAACAATGAGACACTAGGCCTGGCTTGAGCTTCTGAGACTTCAAAGCCCACCCTGTAGTGATGCACTTCCTCCAACAAAGGCACACCTACTCCAATAAGGCCACACCTCCTAATAGTGTGACTCCCTATGAGCCTATGGGGGCTATTTTCTTTCAAACCACAAAAAAAAACCCACTATAAAGGTTGGACTGTGTCTCTTAAAACTGTGAGACAAAACACCACCTTTTTTCCTTCCTTCTTCTCTTCCTTCTTTATCCCTCTCCCTTCCCCCTCCCTTCTCCCTCCCTTCCTCCCTCCCTACATCTTTTTCAGGTATTTTCTCACAGCACCAAAAGGAGACACTAACACAGTGTTACTCCCTCCTACCAGGAACGTGGGAGGAAGTGCTGTTCTCACAGCATAACAGAACGCACTGACATGCTTCCTAACTCCTGCTTCTGATGAAAGACTGTGAGTGGATTTGAACAATTTTCCTATGTGGAGGGCTAGCTGTGTGTTTTGTGCCTGCTCACAGACTTCACCCACCCACACTTGACCATGAAGTCTTGGTCCTTTGTCTCTCTATTTCCGCAAACCCTGTAGATATCTCTTTAGAAAACAGGTCTATGACAAATATTCTCTCCTGGTTGGTTCCTTGTATTTTTATTTAGTTAGGAAAGCCTTGTGAAATATTTTTCTGTACTTACATTTCTCATCCTGCACTTTTGTTGAGCCTGAGTTCCAACTCAGAGCTAACGAAGCCCTCCTTATACTTTTATTCAGGTGAAAGGAGAGTTTTCCTGTGTTTTCTCTCATGTTTGCATTGCTCTTACGTTTTGAATTTAAACCCCTAACCTTTGGGGGATTTACTCTTGTGTGTGTATAGAGTGAGATGGCATGGGCCTGATTTAATCTCCTTCCCAATGGCCACCCTGTTATCTAACATTTATGAAACTGCTCAGGGATCACAGACAAGATGCTATTTAATAAACTAATTTGTAAATCTGTAAAAATGAAGATATTATGAGAACCACTAACAGACAAAATAATTTAAAAAATAAATGCCTTCCAAAAAGTAAACAGATGAAGCTGAACAAAGAAAGCCATGTTCTGGAATATGTGCAGATACGGGTCATTTCACAGGGGCTTTTCCACAGTGCTGAGCATCAAAGCCTTGTGCATACCAGGTAAGATCTCTACCACTGAGCTCCACCCACAACCACAGTGATTCTTAGAGACCCAATTTATCAAGGAGACATGACACTCTTAAATATGTGCCAACTGCCATACCCTTTGGGTGGTTTTCTAATGTAATGAAACTGTCATAATTCTCACCTGACAAAGGAGTTGGTTTAGAAAATTATTTGTTTATTTTTTGGGGGGTTGTTTTGCATTTCATCCCACAGAGCCAGAGGCAGAATCCAAAGCTTCAGGCTGCATTCACAGCAACATGGGGCTATCCTGACACATTTTCGGGTCTTAGGAAAACAACTAGATAGAGTACTGAGTCTTCCAGCTGTGACTTTTGATCCCTTGCTTTGGGCTTCTTACATTTTTACCAACTCATTTCCATTCTTCCAGAAAAAGTTCAGACACTGAAAACAGCAATTTGTTTTCTAGGGAAAAATTCTGAGACAGAACATTTTTTTTAACCTGAACAATTATGCAAATCCAGCAAAAGTAGTTCCAGGCTGCATTCCATAAGTCACTCGATTCCAAGTTAGTCCTGTGTGTTTCTCCTCCTCCACCAGCTAAAACGTTGAGGAATGAATTGTTCGATTTCATAAATACTTGGTGTTAATTACACACTAAATGATGAGCCCTGCTATAAGTAGAATCAGTTTGACATTAAGGGATGGCTCCAGAATCCAGCTTTTCAGGTGTGCACAGGTATGTAGATTAAGTAGCTAGGATTCCTACCTAAAGATTATGTTAGCTATTGGGATCTGAGTCAGCCAGAGTCTTCACTCGTGTTTATGAAACGCTTTTTCCCCAGGGAGTTCTCCTCACATTCATTATCTCATTAATCACCCAGCTATTCCCTTAGAGAAAGGAAAATGGGGAAACATGCATTCTATCAGCTCTCTGACTCCCAGGAGGAAATACACAGACTGTGAGAGGAAAAAATAATTTCCTTGTCTGTAAAATGAGTCCTCTGACTTAGTCCACGCCTTTTGCCCTCAGTACTTGGCAATGATGAGAGATTTGAGAGGTTCTTCACTCCTTAGGAAAAAGTAATTGCGTGTACCTAGTCAAGCAAACTATTAGAAATATGCTGCCATGAGAATCTTAATAAAAACTAAATTATGCTGTGTAGGAGCCGACTGCCACAGCGACTCCAGATACGTGTTTCTGGTGGATCCTTGTTAGAATTCCAATCAATGAGGCTGCCATAGGCTGTCCCATCCTTAAGCATGTTGTCATGCTCAGTCTGCACACACAAACATAAAATTAATTGGCACGTGGGCTACTACCTTTTCATACAAATTTTACTTAATCCTACTAGAAATCATAAGAAGAACATAAGAAGAAAGAACTAGAAGTGTACCAAGGACATTACACCCAATAGATTGCAGAGTGAGATTTGAAGTCAGTGTACGAGGCTTTGTGTGTGTGTGTGTGTGTGTGTGTGTGTGTGTGTGTGTGTGTGTGTGTATCAAGTCCAGAGGGTAACCTCAAGTGTTGCTTTTTGAGTGGCATTTTCCTGGTTTGTCTGCTTATTTTGCAAAGGGGACTCTTATAGGTCTAGAACCTACCAAGTAGGCTAGGCTAGCTGACCAATGAGCCCCAGAGATCCATTCATCTCTGCCTCCCCAGAGCTGGAAATATATATGCTTACTACTACATGGCCTTTTTGGTTTTGTTTTGTTTTTTTATTATGTGAATCTGAGGCTGGAACTCAGGTCTTCCCATAGGCCAACACATTACCACTGAACTATTGTCTCAGCTACAGGTGTTTTAAATTTTTAAATCCATTTTCTCTCCACGAATGGAATATCCACCAGCAATGACATGTTTCTTCTTAATTCCAGTGAATCTCAGCATTGCAATCTTGGAATTCTGAAACTGGCATGAGTCCGCACCTGTTGATTGTGCACTGTTTGGGGGAAATGCTGCTGCTTCAGGACACTGCTGGAGCTCAAGAGACCCACATGGAAGAGGAAAGACAGTTCTGCTGCCCAGGAAAGGCAATTCTGGGGTAGCTGACATGGCAGGAGAACTCATGGCCTTGGGCCTAAGAAAAATGCTATCCTGACTATTTTCTTAATAACCAACAGGTTAAAATTGTTACTATCATCACTCAATGGCATGAGCTTTCAATTTTGCTTTCTAAAAGATGCAACACACTTATATCAGGAACAGTGGATTTCACTTTTTGCAGAAATGGTGATTGAGCCCAAGGAGCGTGCACTCCAGCCAAATACTGTGCCACTGAGCTACATCCCCATCTTCCTATGACAGGGTTGATTCTTTTGCTATGACAATTCCAAAGCAATCTAAATCTCAGAAGATGGGCTAGTTAGGAGTTAACAGGAGACCCTTGGTTAGGTAAGTTGGTTGTGGTGTGAGAAGTAGTGATGGAAGGCTGTATGTTAGCTACTAAATTAAACCAGTCACCAATGGGCCCTAGTACTTCCTCACTAAAGCAAACTTCGTGAAAATTATGAACCATGTAGATTAAGAAATTCCAAACAAGCTTCTCATCTGCCCACCTGGTGCAGGGTAATGTAACAGTTACAACCACTTTATTCCAGGCTGTACTGTATGCCACATTCTCCCCTTCAGAGAGTATCTCTACAGCCTTGGGCAGTGACCCTGTCTGACCCAGATTAGATAAACCTAGGTAGCAATCACATTACCCGCTCTTTAACCATGTGAAACACTTCTGTGTACTAGTCCATTCGGGCTGCTGTGAGAAAACACATTAGAATGATTTATAAAGAGAAATTGCAAGGTATGGTGGCACACACCTGTAGTCATAGCACTCAAGAGGATGAGGCAGGAGAGGAGAGTTATAAGTTCTAAATTAGCCTGAGCTACTGGTTGAGATGCAACAAAAACAAAAACAAACAGACTTTGGGGCTGGAGAAATGGCTGCTCTTCCAGAGGATCCAGGTTTGAGTCCCAGCACCCACTTGGCTGATTACAACCATCCGTAACTCCAGCCCCAAGGGATCTAACAACCTATCCTGGCCTCCATGGACACCAGACACAAACATGATATTCAGACATACTTCCAGGCAAAACACCCATATATATAAAATGCTTGTAGAGCGTGTCTGAAGCCAAGTTTAATCTTTTTAGCACTGCAGGAACCCAGAATGGTAGCACATGTGTGTAATATAAGCACTAAGAAGATGACCACAGAACATTGAGAAATTCAACACCATCCTTGGCTACATAGTGAGTTGAAGGACAGTATGGGCTACATGAGTCTTAGAGAGAGAAAGGGAGAGAGGGACAGAGGGAGGGAGGGAGGGAGGGAGGGAGGGAGGGAGGAGGAGGGAGGGAGGGAGGGAGGGAGACAGACAATCACAGGTACTGGGAATCTAGGATCAAGGCTTCAGTAGGGTGGTGTTGGGTGCCGACCCCTCTCCACTTCTAACATGGTGCCTTGGGCTGGGGTATAGCTCAGTTATTTGTCTAGAGAACACAAAATTCTGGGATCGATTCTTAGCACTGCATAAACCAGGCTTGGTGGCATATGCCTGGTAATCCCACCTCTCCGGAAGTAGGGCAGAAGGATCAGAAATTAAAGGGTCATTCTCAGTTACATAGTAAGTTAGAGGCCAGCAGGCTACATACGAGCCTGTTTTAGTTTTTAGATTAATGTCTTTATTGGCAGGGAGCACATGCCATTCCATGCATGTAGAGGTCAGAGGACAACTTTGTGTCAGCTCTCTTCTTCCACCATGGAAGGTCAGGAGGTCAAATCAGTGGATCTGGCTTGGCTGCAAGCTCCCTTATCTGCTGGGACATTTCACCAGCCTCAAGACCTTGTTTAGAAAAACAAAGCCAGTGCCTTGCTGCTCCATCATCTGGATGAAGAACACTGCTCTTGCACGCTGGAAGAGACAGGGGAGGGAAAGGTATCTGCTGTTACAACACCAGGCTCGAGGAGGCCACCCAAGGCCACCTCCTCACACTGCTAATTTCTGTAACAAGAAACACATTCAAACCACTGTGCAGAAGGACTGTTTGCAGCGGGGTTGTGTTGGGGAGGTGAAGAGGGAGAGAAACTTCAGAAGACTGGAATGGAATCCAAAGGATTGAAAAGGCATAGCACAATATAAGACCTGCGTTTGACTCTCATTACCACCTAATGGTTTCTGGTATTCCTGCTAACCAAGTACTCACCTCCTGGTGTGTTACTATTTAGCACCAAAAAACAAAATAACAACAACAAAGATTGTGTGGTGTATGTGTATGTGTATTTCTATTCTGAAGAGATTGTTAGTGGTTAGGATTAGTGTTAGTTGCCATCCTCCCTGACTTGTCAAGCAGCTGTGGACAGGTCATTTGTCACACACAGGTCATTTATTTGAATTTCCACACAGCACTCTTGAAAAAGTCGTAAGTAAAAGGCAAGCCACAGGTGAACCAAATCTGGCCCATTGTCATGATTAGTTTGGTCCACACAATAGGGAAAGCACAGCATTTCATTTAAAAATAAGAATTTTCAGAGCTAGAGAAATGACTCATCAGTTAAACGCACTAGCTACCAATTCGCAGCAACCACACTGGGCACCTCATAACCACCTGTAACTCCAGTTCCTCAGGATCTGATGCCCTCTTCTGTCCTCCACAGGGACCCACGTATACACTGGCATATTCGCTGGGCCCACATGTTGGCATACACTCACAAAGACACATACATGCAAATAAAAACAAAACAAACCTTTTAAAATCATAGTAAGATTCTGAAGCCTTATGAAAACTGTAAAGATATTTCAGCACTTGGCAAAGCTAACTATGGCCTCTTTACAATGAAGCACGCTGTCTCCGATCTGCCATCTCCAAGGAGAATCCTGTTTTTTCTTACATCTGCTGCCTCCTGCTTACATAGCCCCTATTGGCTCCTAAGTTTGCAAACTCGGAATTAAGTTCTTCCTTTACTCCAATCATCTGTGGCCAGAATCAAGGAGCCAGGTGTCTGTTACAGACAGTACCACCCGGCTCCATCATCAAGGAACCCTGGACAGGAGCCTTCAGCAGGAAAGTTATAGGTACTGCAGGCATGCCAGGGTACAACCAATCCATTACACTGACAGAGTAACTGCATTTTAAAAAAGGATTTATTTATTACGTATACAGTGTTCTGATTGCATGTATTCTTATAAGTCAGAAGAGGGCACCAGATCTCACACAGAGTCACTGTGTGGTTGCTGGGAATTGAACTAAGAACCTCTGGAAGAGCAGCCAGTGCTCTTAACCACCAAGCCATCTCTCCAGTCCTGAGCAAGTGCATTTTTTTATAAATATCAATATGTATCATATAAATCAAGAGGTTATATCATATTCTTATAGAAAATAAATTTATATCCAGACATTGCCTGCTATTTGAATCTAATCTAATTAGGAAATAAAAACAAATTTAGGAAGTGGAAGAATAATGTATACATAGTCTTTTTATCCTCAGGATCTTGGGGAGAGCTAAAATATTCAATCTAAGAAAGACTTGGGAAAGGAGGCCTTCCTCCATGCAGTTATGGGAACACCATCATCCGTGCACCTATAGAAGCGCCATCATCCATGCAGCTATGGGAGCGCCCTCATCCGTGCAGCTATGGGAGCACCATCATCCGTGCAGCTATGGGAGCACCCTCATCCGTGCAGCTATGAGAGCACCATCATCCGTGCAGCTATGGGAGCACCCTCATCCGTGCAGCTATGAGAGCACCATCATCTGTGCAGCTATGGGAGCACCATCATCCATGCACCTATGGGGGCATCCGTGCAGCTATGGGAGCACCATCGTCCATGCACCTGTGGGAACGCCATCGTCCATGCAGCTGTGGGAGCACCATCGTCCGTGCACCTGTGGGAGCACCATCGTCCGTGCACCTGTGGGAGCACCATCGTCCGTGCACCTGTGGGAGCACCATCATCCATGCACCTATGGGGGCATCCGTGCAGCTATGGGAGCACCATCATCCGTGCAGCTATGGGAGCACCATCGTCCATGCACCTGTGGGAGCACCATCGTCCATGCAGCTGTGGGAACGCCATCGTCCATGCAGCTGTGGGAGCACCATCGTCCGTGCACCTGTGGGAACGCCATCGTCTGTGCACCTGTGGGAACTCCATCGTCCGTGCACCTGTGGGAACGCCATCGTCCATGCACCTATGGGAGTGCCACTGTCCATGCAGCTATAAGAGTGCCATCATCCGTGCTAATTGAAGACATTCCAGTAAGGACGCTTTGAGGTCACACATACTACTATCAGTAACCCCTCACCAATGTTCTGTGTTAAAAGTCATTGGCACCTTCGGGTGAACTGTGATAGAATTACATTTTGGTTTATCTTTGGGACCTTAGCGGGAGGAGGCCGATATTGTTCACATGTTCCCAGGGAATGAATTTTAACAACAGACTTTGTCTCACAAACAAACAAACAGAATGTCAAGCCTATGAATAAAAAAAAAAAACTAAACCAAAGTGACAGTAAATTTTGGGTGGGCGGGGGCGGTTGGAGACAGGGTTTCTCTGTGTAGCATTGACTGTCCTGGATCTCACTCTGTAGACCAGGCTGGCCTAGACCTCACAGAGATCCACCTGCCTCTGCCTCCTGAGTGCTGAGAGCAAAGGCATGAGCCACCAACACCCAGCGACAGTAATTTTTATAAGCATAATTATTTAAGGCCTGATGGTAGCTGTTTATGAGTCCTCCTCCTTTTCTGGGGACCTAGGATAAGCATCCAATGAAAGAAGTTCCTTGTTCATAAATTCTTTGTGTCATGCCCTTCACTAACTTCCTCACAAGATTTAGCATTTTTGCTTTGCGTTAATCACTTCCCTGAAACCTTGGAAGTCAGCAACAGCTGGCAGAACTAGTTTCCCCTTCATCCACTCATTGTTTGTTATGCTACATGCCAAATCCACTTGACAAATGGGAAGACCTTCCGAATGTCCAGACCATCCCATAAATCCTTTTCTGAAGCATTGTTACCTGCATCATCATCCTATATATCAGCCGATAAGCACCATGCTTGACTTCCCCATCTACAGACAGGATGCCTTGAAGGCTGCAGCCTCTCCTAAGTGCAGAGAATACAGTCATGATCCAAAGCTGGAAGGTAAAAAAAAAATGCTGTGCTGGTATCTCCATACCCATCAACGCAGAAGGACGTTTGGAGGATTGGGCTATTACCAAAGGTCCCTTTTTTGCAAGGCTTTTTTTTTCCTGTGTATTGTTTTGATGACAGTGGAGCACCAGCTCTTCAGATAAACACTGATCACTGCCTTGCTCACCCAATCTTCTATAACCCAAATATCACCTAACAGGCAATTCCCTCTTCCACAGTCCCTAAAAAGCATAGGGGTCTTTGAAGCCGTACACACCAGCTGAGCTCCACACTCACTTGGAAGCCATGCTAGTCTGTCCTGCGTGGTTCCTATGTCTCCTTCTTGAAATGAGCACACGAGAGAGCAATTTTGTCAATGTTAAAAAATAACTGTGCCGTGCCGTTCTGCCACCTTTGTCAATAGTTTTCTTTGTTGGTTCGTGTACTTTCTTCACGGGCCTTTCAGCACTCTTAGGAGACATTTGTGTATAATAACTTGCAGAAACTGACAAGATAACGTGGAACATGTTGAGGCTGTGTTTGCACAAGACTCTGGATGATTGGGAGAAAAGCTGAGACTTCCCGCAACACATTCTCAATTTTCTCCCCTAATATGTGCACAAGTCAACGGTTCCACTAGGGATAGTGCAGACCTTTTCCTTAGGGATTCCCTTGTGCAGCGTGAATATGGGGCAAAAGTCATGCAATGCCTTTTAAAGCAAATATTTGCACAGTAGATTCAGATGGCAAGGTGTGACAGTTACAAAAAAGGAGAGAACAAAAAGATACAACACAACAGGAATCAAGGTTAGCAACAATTACCCTCAAAATTGACACAAAATTTGGGGGGAGGGGCCGTCATCAATGATTCTAATCTGTCTCAAACAAATAGGCATCAATATGATGGAGTAAATGGGTAAAATAGGATCAATACAACAAAATGCTGTCTACCTGGACTAACAGTGTCCACCCTTGAGCATGTGAGCAATTCAGCATGGTCCAACCACTTGTGCTACACGATTTTATGAAAGCTGTAAAATCTCTCAAAGGAGTGAGAAGTCAATAGGGGTGAAATGTCTGTGACGTAGGGATGAGAAGGAAAAAAAATATAGTTCAAGTGTCTCTGTAAGCCCCTGTGAGCCCAGGTTAGATGATTCTGTGAGGTTTCTTGTGATGTCCTTGATCCCTCTGGCTCCTATAATTCTTCCTTCCCTTTTTCTGCAGGATCCCCTGAACTCCATCTAAAGTCTGGTTGTGGGTCTGCATCTGCTCCACCAGTTGGTGGATGAAACCTCTCTGAATTTAGTTGAGCTGGGCACCAATCTAGTCGCAGGAGATGACCAGTTCAGGCTACTTAACCATTATTGCTAGAAGTCTTAGCTGGACTCATCCTTGTAGATTCCTGCGAGATTCCATCATGCCAGATTTTTACCAGACACGGAAATGCTCCCCCATTTCCATGGTCTCTCTCAGGACTTTCCTCTTCTGCCCCCACATCCTGACTGCTCATGTTCCTATCTATCCTCAGTCCACTCATAATATCTCTTCCATTTCCCCTATCCAGGGAAATCCAGCCATCCCTCCACCATGAATCTTCCTTGTTACCTAGTCTCTATGAGTCTGTATATTGTATCCCTTATTTTACAGCTAATATCCACTTTAAGTGAGTACATACCATATTTGTCTTTCTGGGTCTGGGTGACCTCACTCAGGATGTTTTTTTCTAGTTCCATCCATTTGCCTTCAAATTTCCTGGTATCTTTGTTTTTAACAGCTGAGT